TAGAAGCCAAAAGAAAGCAGAGGTAGCTATATTTACATCAGACAAAATAGGCTTTAAGCCTAAGACCGTAACAAGAGACTAAGAATATTATATAATGATAAAGGGGTCAATTCATCAAAAGGATATAACATTTGTAAATATGCACCCAACATAAGAGCACCTAATACAGAAAGCAAATATTAACAGATCTGAAGAGATAAATAGACAACAATACAGTAACAATAGGGGACTTCAATACCCCCACTTTCAACAATGGATAGGTCATCCAGACACAAAATCAATAAGGAAACACTGGGTTTAAACAACAATTTGGATCATATGACTTTAAACATTTACAGAATGTTCCATCCGACAGGAGTAGAATACACACTCTTCTCAAGGAGACATGGAACATTCTCCAGGATAGATCATACGTTAAGCCACAAAACAAGTTTTAACAAATTTAAGAAGACTGAAATCATATCAAGCATCTTTTCCAACCACAACAGCATGAAACTAGAAATTACAAGAAAAATGGAAAATTCACAAACATGTACAGATTAGACAATGTGATCCTGCCAAGAAATGGGTCAAAGAAGGAAGAGAAATAAAAAAAAAAAAAGCATCTCGAGACAAATGAAAATGGAAACACAACATACCAATACTTATGGAGTCCAGCAATAGCAGTTCTAAGAATGTTTACAGCAGTAATCGCCAACATTAAGAAACAAGAAAGATCTTAAATATACAACCCAACTTTACCCCTCAAGGAACTAGAAAAATAAGAACTCAGCCCAAAGGTAGCAAAGTGAGGAAATAAAAATGAGAGTAGATATAAATGAAATAGAAACTGAGAAAACAACAAAATCGATCAATAAAACTAAGAGCTGGTATTTTGAAAAGATAAACAAAATGGACAAAACTAGCTAGATTAACCAAGAAAAAAATAGGGAACTCAAAATTATAAATCAAAGAGGAGACATTACAACTGATACCACACCAACATACAGGATCATAAGAGACTACTATGAACAATTGTATGCCAGCAACTGAACAACCTGGCAGAAATGAGTAAGTTCTTAGAAACATATAACCTTCTAAGACTGAATCACGAATAAAAATCTGAAGAGATCAATTACTAATAAGGAAATTGAATCAGGAATCAAAAATCTCCTAACAAAAAAGGTCCAGGACCAGAGATGTCTTCACTGGTGAATTCTACTAAACATTTTTTTTAAAAGAATTAACTCCAATTCTTCTCAAACTCTTCCAAAAATAGAAGAGGAGGGAACACTTCCAAACTTAACCTCATACCAAAATCAGACAAAGATGCTATAAGAAAACTACAGGCCAACATCCCTTATAAAAATAGATGCAAAAATCCTCAATAAAATATTAGCAAACCAAATTCAACAGTACATTAAAAGGATCGCACACCATAATCAAGTGGGATTTACTCAAGGGATGCAAGGATGGTCGAAATCAAATAATATGATATGCCATATTAACAAAATGAATAAAAATCATACGATCATCCCATTAGATGCAGAGAAAGCATTTGACAAAATTCAACATGCTTTCATGATAAAAACTCGCAACGAACTGGGTATAGAGGCATCCTGCCTCAACACAACAATGACCATATATGACAAGTCCATGGCTAATGACACACTCAACAGTAAAGTGTCTCTATTTGCAGATGGCATGATATAATATATAGAAAATCCTAAAGACTCCACCAAAAAGTAAAAAACTATTAGAACCAATAAATGATTTCTGTGAAGTTACAGGATAGAAAATCAATATACAGAAATCAGTTGCACTTCTATACACTAACAATTAACTATCAGAAAGGGAAATTAAGAAAACAATACCATTTGCAATAGCATGCAAAATTATACAGTACTTAGGAACAAATTTAACCAAGATGATTAAAGATCTGTATACTGAAAATTATAAGACGCTGATGAGAGAAATTGAAGACACAAATAAATGTAAAGATATTTCATGCTCACAGACTGGAAAAATATTGTTAAAATGTCCATACTCCCCAAAGGAATCTACATATTCAATGCAATTCCAGCAAAATTCCAAAGGTATTTTTCACAGAAATAGGAAAAAAAAAAAACAAACCCTTAAATTTGTCTGAAACCACAAAATCAAAACAAAAGAAAACCCAAATAGCTACAGTAAATTTAAGAAAGAACATAGCTGGAAGCATCACACATCCTGATTTCAAACTATGTTACAAAGCTATAGTAATAAAAACAGTATGGTATTGGCATAAAAACAGACACACGGATCAACGGAACAAAATGGAGAACCCAGAAATAAACCTACGCAAATATGGTCAATTAATTTACAACAAAGAATATACAATAGGGAAAGGACAGTCTCTTCAATAAATTGTGTTGGGAAAATGGGATAGGTACAAAAAAAAAAATAAAACTGGACCCCTATCTTGTACCATACACAAAAATCAACTCCAAATGGATTAAAAACTTGAACATAAGACCTGAAACAGTAGAATTCCTACAGGAAACACAGGGGGTAAGCTCCTTGACATCACTCTTGGTGATGATTTCTTTGGATGTGACACCAAAAGCAAAGGCAACAAAAAGCAAAAATAAACAAGTGGGACTATATCAAAGTAAAAAGCTACACTGCAAAGGCATAGGACCATTGATAAAATGAAAAGGAAACCTAGCTAGAACAGGAAAAAACATTTGCAAACCATATATCTGATAAAGGGTTAATATCCAAAATATATACTTATGCAACTCAATAGCAAAAACCAAACAATCCAACAAAGAACTGAACAGACATTTTCCTAAAGACAACATATAAATGGCTAACAGGTAGATGAAAAGGTGCTCAATATCACTAATCGTCAGAGAAAAACAAATCAAAATCAGTGAGATATCACCTCACACCTGTTAGGATGGCTATCATCAAAAAGACAAGAAACAACAAATGTTGACAAGGACGCGGAGAAAAGGGAATCCTCGTGCACTGTTGGTGGGAATGTAAATTGGTGCAGCCACTATGGAAAACAGTATGGAGGTGCCTCAAAAATTTAAAAATAGAATGATCGTATGATCCGGCAATCCCGTGTTCACTGCAGCATTATTCACAGAAGCCAAGATATGGAGACAACCTAAGTGTCTATCAAGAGATGAATGGATAAAGATATTGTGTGTAAATACGTAATGGAATATTATTCAGCCATGAGTAAGAAGGAAATCCTGCCATTTGCAACAACATGGATGGACCTCGAGGGCATTGTGCTAAGTGAGATAAGGCTGAGAAAGACAAATACCACATGATCTCACTTATGTGTGGCATCTTAGAAAGAACTCACAGAAACAAAGACAATGGGATTACCAGAGGCTGGAGAGTGGGAGAAAGAGATGTTGGTCAAAGAGCACAAACTTCCATTTGGGAGGTGGCCTAGCGATCATAGTTACAATGTTGTTTTTACACTTGAAAGCTGCTGAGCGTAGACCTTAACTGTTCTCACGGCAAACGTGGCGATTATGTGAAGTGATGCAGGTGGTAGCGAATGCTACGTGGGCATCATTTTGCAATATGTAGGAGTATCAAATCGATATGTCCTATACCTTATGCTCACAATGTGTTACATGTCAATTACATATCAATAAAGCTGGAAGAAACGTTATGAGGTGCGGTTGAAAGATGCCAAATTCCTGGTGGCAGTATGACTCAGTGTTTGATGTGCTAAGTGTAGCAGTGAACAGTGCCTGGACAGCTTCTTTCTTTCAATTACTTTCAAAGGTATAGTTTGATGAAAAATCCCTTAGAAGTCTGAGGAATAAGAAATGCTAAAAAACCTTCCACTTTGCTATAGAACCCAATGGCCACACAAGCATCAGTGGAAAAAAACAATTCAGCCCAGTTTGTATTTGTAAAGGAAAATGATCTGCTCTAGGATTTCACTGGACACACAGACCAGACAAATCCTGTGTCAGGAGCTGGGTGACCATGGGTTAGCACTGGAAGTCTCACGTCCCGGGAGAGCCCTCGGGCCGGGCAAACTAAGACAGCTGTAAAAAAGCGGTTCTGTGTACGCCTTTTGGTGACTACAGCAGCAGAGTCATTAAAGAACTTTCCCACGCGCAAGATGCTGGACCGAGAGCTGCAGGTTTACAAAGATGAAGAACAGTGAGCAAGAGCAAACCGGTCCCCTCACGTTGTGGAGGTTATGTTGCCGCTGCACGCGAGTGCACTTACCGTGATTTGGTTGGTGTGTAGTTTCTGAAGATCATTTTGGAAAGCGACATCCAATGGGTGACCCATTCCAAGTCCCGGATGTCCTTCTCCAGAGCAGCTTTGGAACAGCCTAGGTTAGAGGTCGTGCTAGTCTCGACACCTGGATATGTGTACTGGCTCCACATCCTGACAGTCACAAGACCTTGGTCAAGTCACTAACTCCTCTGTGACCTGTGTTTCCTACTCTATAAACTGTGGATAGTCATACCTACACGTCACACAGCTGATATGAGTATGCGGTGACATAATACAGGTATAGGTTTAAAATTACACCTGGCACACAACAAGTGCTCAGTAAATGGTACCTTCTGTTAACATCATCTGAGAGTTTGTTGATATTCAAGGAAAAAATGTCAAAAGTAAAGACCAGTGGTGACACTGCACTACTTCTAGAGCCTGGAATGGAAAGACTCATGTCTTCATTTTCAGGGACAAATCAGAAGGACAATGTCAGGGGAGATGGACTCCTGTTTGACAGGCAGTAGCCCTAGAGAGTAGCTCTAGAGAGGAACACAGATGAAATTTCCAAAATGCAGGCCTGGAATTTGACCAATAAGATAAATTTTCAAAGAAATAACCTAACACAAAAATGGAAGAAAAAAAAAACCCAGCAGCTCATTCTAGTGCAATGAAAGGCCTAAGGATGAGAAATTCTGAAGAGCTATCATTTCACTAGATTATTTTTGGTTTATACACTAGAGTACCAAATAAAATTATGGAAAAAAACCACACTGGATTACACAATTTTTATTGAGATTTTGTCTTATTACAGAGAACTCATTGGCCTTCAGTTACATGAATAAGAAGCTGGGCCACATGCATGGTTACCAAGAGTCATCTGGTTCTTCATGAGAAGGGCCTGTGAAACTAAATTAGAGAAAGACAAAAATTTTAAAACTTTGTTAAATTCTTGTCAAGTTTATTCAGAGACCTTTATAATGTTCTCATTCCTTCTCCATGGAGTTTCTGCCTTCACTTAAAATTTGTATCTGTAGCAATTTCACGACTTAAAAAAATGCAATAGATTTTTTTTTGAAATCAGTAATTTTGATTCATTAATTTCTTACAGGCAGACTCCAATATCTGAATGTACCCCTTGGCCAAGGAAACCAGCAATATGATGATAATGCTGTGCTTAAGAATGAGACGGTGCAGAAACCATACCTTTCGTCTTTGTCACTAGGTGGCAGTGTGTCCATTTGTGAATCTTCTCTGACAATCTTTGAGCTCTGATACAAAGAGGGGGAAAGAATTTTGAAATTAGATATGTATTAATTTTATTAACTACTTTGATTTCTCTAAGTACTATTTTTGAAATACATATGTAATTTAAGAGTCCAAAAATGAGGTGACTTTTAAACATGAAATTTAGCAAACACATCAAACTATCCAGTATGCATTCTCAATACCCATAGCACTTCAGACTTAAGAGTACTGATGTCTCAAAAAGTACCAATGCATTCATTATTCATTGATAGGGCTTTCATTATATTTCTTTCTTGTTTTAAAAATTAGAGACATCTCAACCTTTACAAACTTTGACAAATCAAAATCTGTTCCATTTTTCACCCAAGCAAAAGTGATGAAATTTTGTCAAGAGTATAATACATTTAAGACTCAAGGATCCATTTAAACTTTGGATTTTCTCTGCTTTTACCTTTTTGTCGCCAATGGAGAAGGCAGACTCTTGTCCCAAAGTTTTCTAATAAACCACAGAAGCCCTCGCCCCCCATCCCCGTCCCCGTCCCTGCCAGCCCCTACCCCAGACAGCGGGTCCACAGCTTCAGCACCTTATCTGCTGTGTCATGGGCCTCTTGGATGATTTTCATGTATTTCTCTAAAGGGTTTTCAGCACGAGCAGATTTGTCTTTCATTTCTTGAATACTTCCTTCTAATTCTTTCTCCATTTCAATCTTCAGGGACTCTTCGATCATCCGCTGTCAAATAGATGGGCAGCAAAGTAGGAAACACACAAATATATTTTTTAAACACCCAGTAATATAATTCTGATCCTTTAAGTAAAACCGGCATACGAGAAAACTTTTTTTTTCTTTTGAGTCACTACCACCATCAAAAGGGGACAAACATGTCAACTCAACAAAGGAAGGGATGAATTTGCCTGAAGTGTCCCGTGCTTTAAACCAAATTAACTAGGAGTTCAGGGAACATCCACACAGATTAATTTATGTAAGATTTAGCAGGCGTGTGAAGTGGCCAGAATAATGCATCTGGCTGGGACCAGAATAAGGACGTAGAAGGCCAAGGAGAATTAGGAAGGAGGAGGGCAGGGGAACCTGTGGAAGCCACCACGGACTGGCAGTCACCTCCCCTGGCTCCGTCTAGTCCCAGTTGGCTGACCTGTAAACCCTACTTACAACTTGCAGTCCGCCTCCTTTACGGGTGTTTTCAGCACCAGGCGACAACGCATGCAAATGAGCTCGCAAAAGCCCTGCTTTACTATGAAACTCCTAGGGCGTATGCACAGCCTTTCCTGGCGCTTTCAGCAAAGGAGGGGTCCGCGATGCCTACGGCAGGCCGTTTACAAGTGACCTACCGCTGCCAAGCCTCTGGGACACACTAAGGACTCACGTGCCCGAGAGCAAGGTACTTCATAAGGGTGCACCACGGAGAAGTTAGGACAGAGAAGTCAGCTGTACATATATTACCCTTTCTTGATCCAGTTTTTCTAGCTCTCTTCGTTCCCTTTCTAAAGCTTCTTGTTCATTCTGCTTTCTTTCTTCTCTCTGCCTTTGTTCTTTCGCCTGCTGCTCCCATACTTTTTCTTCTCTCTTTTCTCCAATTTGTTTCTTCTGATCTACACCTAAAGGATCAGAAAATAAAGAGCGAGTAGCTTGCAGCACGTTTTTCAAACAGGTGCGGGACCGGTTTACGGGGCCCTGCCGAGACTCAGGGAGACTGCCTGATTCTCAGCGGGCTCTGCTGAGCTGCTGGTCCATCGTCAAGGTCTTCGGTCCCCCGTCCCATTCCTAGCACCGCGGGATCCCTTTACTTTACTGAGATGAACAGAAGTCACCCTCACCACCAACTACTTCGACGGTCGTCCCCTCCACATCACACTTTCCCCTCCTCTTCGCCTGGCTCCTCCCTCCTTCATGCTTCCCCAGGCAGGCCCCGCACTGCTGCCTCTGCACTTGGGGACGACCCCTCCCCTACCTTTAGGTTCGGACTTAACCATTAGCCCCTATTTATTGACACAGCAGTTCTAAGCCGCTCCCCTGAATCTGCAAAGGCACTCGAGCCTCTGCTGCTCAGACCAGTAGGAAAGTAGCACACATACCGCCCGCCTGCTCGCCAGCTCGCTGTCATTCCCCACCGCCTCCGGGCCGGCCCCTCACAGGGTTCCAGCTGTCGCCCCTGCCCCACACCATCTTCTGGAGTCCTGATCTCTCCCCCAGCCTCACATCCATGTTTCTGAACGATTCTCTGCCACCAGCACATGGAGGCACCAGCTTCCTGAGTTATCACTCCTGTCTGTCCCTTTAATCATGCTCCTCTACACTATGCTCGCTCAGCCACCAGGCTTACAGCTTAACTCCTCCTCCTGCTGCCATTAGGATCCTGATCACCAACTACCTGGATGGCTGAAATAACCTAGTCAGTGCTCTCCCTGACATCAGTTTGCCTTCAAGCCACCCATCTTCATCGGCATCAGTCATTTCCTGAAGAGAAGGATCTGCTGTGCCCCGTCGCCACTACGGCGGAGTCCACACTTGCTGTGATCTAGGCTCCGACAATGTGCCTTTTTCTTTCTGGACAGACTTCCTACATCCCCGTAACTTTTGCATTTGAAACGTTTCTCTGTAGCAGCATGCGCACTGTACCCGAACGCAGGTGGACCTTCCTTGCTCTCTGCCTTCGCTTTCACTGTCTCCTGAACTTGATGTGCTCCTTGCCACTAACCTCTCCCACAAAACCCCACCTACCACGCCACCTCCTCTTTGAGGTCCTCCTTATTCCTAAAGTGACAATTAGCCTATCCGGCACTATAGCCACTCAGTATTCTGTGCCTGCCTTGTCAAAACCATGTGTGTCTGTTTCTCCTACTTCTGTCCTCTGGGCTTTGTCTGTCTGTTCCGTATAGCTCGCGGCGCAAGTCCCTTTGCCTCACAGGTTTAACTCAATCTCAATCCCACAGATCATACTGACCTCTCTCCTCCAGAGACAAATTCACAGTTGCCTCAGAAGACTCTAAACTCTGTGGCTCTGGCCTGTTCTAAGTCCCCAGCAGAAACTCAGTGAGTTTTACTAACGAGACAGAGGCAACACAGTGTTTTCTGTCTCTTGATCCTGGTCATGAAATTCAAATACCAGAGGAGGCCACTGATCATTTCCACAGACAGAAATGCACTGTCCTCCCTGCTGGAGGAAGAAAGGTTACTCCTGTGGCATCGCCTTCTCACATGGAACTGCAATCTCAGAATAGGAATGACGTGTGGCTGCCAACTTAAAAAGATAAAGAAAAATGGGCTACTTCTTGGTTGTAGGCTATACCGTCATGCGCTGTGTAACAAAATTTCAGTCAACAACGGACCACATATATGACTGTGTTCCCATAAGATTATAATGGAGCTGAAAAATTCCTATCGTCTAGTGACGCTGGACCTGTCATAATGCCATAGCACAACACATTACTCATGTGCCTGTGGCGATGTGGTGCAAACAAGCCCACTGCGCTGCCAGTACAGCACATGGAATTATGGACGATACATAACACTTGATAATAAATGACTGCTACTGGTTTACGTACTTACTATGCTAGACTTTTTAATCATTATTTTAGAGTCTATTCTCCCTACTTATTAAGAAAAGTTTGCTATAAAACAGTATGCCATGTTACTCCAGCAGCAGCCTCACACATGTCATGTTTACTGTGTCTCTTGATTGCGTCATTTTCTCTGGTGCTGGCTTTAATCTCGTGCTTTGTACGTAACATGCCATATGTTGTTTTTATTCCATACTCAGGTCTCTGCCAAATGGCTTCCTACCAGATCTGCTCCCGGGTGGCCACTGTCCCTCCTCAGTACCTGTCCCATTGGAGGTCTTTGGTGATGGCTTGCTGATCGTCCAACTCCCCCACTAAAAACTCTGTGAGGCAAGGGCTTGGCTCGGCTCACTGCTGTATGCCCGGCACAGAGAAGGCTCTTGATCAAGTCTCACTGACTGAGAGCTTTCTAGAATGATTTACTTTGGAATCAGCAACGTCGACCCTCTCAAAGTGTCTTTGTTCAGTAATTCCTCATATTCCTGAGTGTAGTGACTTAATCCAAGAAACCGCTCATAAGAGGCTTTGCATACATAGGTTTGGGGGATGATAGTCCCTCTCAAATGTTGGGAAAACAAGAGGTGATTTTACTTGAGAAATTTCCTTTCAAGTTTGAGGCTTAACTGCTTTGGTCCAAGGAAAAGGATCTGGCTGGAACAAAGCTCAAATTCCCCCCCTACAGTGTTTGTCCCTGTCCCTCCACACTGGTGAGGGGAGTGGGTATTCTGGAGAAGAGGAAAGAGAAAGTGGGCCAGACACGAGAAGTCTAATGACCAGTTTTCCTCCAGTGTTATCAGCTTTTCCGAAGACCGAAATATAAAAGTTTTTACACCCTAATTTTTTAAGATATGAAGATAAATAGATACAAGAAGAAATGTTACCATTTCACAATCGTATTGAAGATGTATATGGGTATTAACCATTGTTTCGACTTTATGCTATGATTTCCCAAGATGATAAGGCTCTCAAGGAATGGCTTTCACAGAAGAGTCTTAAGCAAAAATGTAACTGCTCTGTCACACTTCGGACAGGTAAATAAAAAATTTTTAAGGCAATTCGCCCAGGAAGACTAAATGAGAAGCCTCTCCTTCACAGCTTTCTCCTCAGCACTGTCTTTACATGTCCAAACTGAGAGCTACTTCAGAAATGTCATCAACAGTAACACCCCAACCAAGATTTTGAATAACTTAGGCTCACAGAAAGTCCTTCGACAACACATGAAACAATTTCCAGGGCAGAGACTGATGTTCAGTATTTCGTCACGTCAGCGGTTAGTTAAAACCAAGACAAACTTACTTGGGAAGTGACAGGAGACAGGTGTGGAAGCAGTGGCTGCGGCAGAGTCCAGATGAGGCATGTCGCCAGCGGGATGGAGGCCATCCACTTCAAACGGCTTTGGTAGGGGCCCTCCATCTATACAAGGTGTGA